CCTGTTCCTAGCCCCCGGCAACAGGCCTTTCCCATCATGGTATACCACGTCCCCCATTCCTACCCTGTGTGCCCCTCCAACAACAGCCTTGTCCAATCCTAAGAGACCCCATACCCAATTCACCTCCTTCCTAAATTGGAACTTATATGAGCTTTGTCCTTTTGTTCCTTTGGGGAATCTCTGCTGTGGCAGGTGGGGCTCCGTTGCTGGCAAACTCAATAAATACTAGTTAGTTCCTAAATTTATGGTATTAGGTTTGGGTTATGGTTTTGACATGGGGCTTCAGTTCTGGTTTATGGCAGCTCCAACAATTTTACCCATAGCACCTAAAGTTATCCAAACACTTTCCCATAGCTAGTATTCAAGGAGACACTTCATAAACCTAATACAAATTTTAGCTTTAGCTAAAATAAAACAATTTCACAAATAGGGAAGTAAGGATAGACTGTTCATCTGAAAAAAGATGGGGGTGGGGGTGGATTGAAAGCTCAATGTGAGTCAATAGTATGATATGGCAGCCCATAGAACTAGTGTGATCTGAGGCACAATGTTCCAGAATAAGGAGGTAGTAATTGTATTGTTCTCTCTGTCTTATGAGACCACATATGAAGTTTTAGATACCAGAAGCTATAGATACAATAATTTAGGAAGGACATTGATCAACTGGAGTGGTTCCAGAATGAGGTCAGCCAGGATAGTGCCACATGAAGACTGGCTGAAGGAGCTGTAAGCATTTTTAGTCTGGAGCACAGAAGAATTAAGGTAGACAAGACAACCTTCAAGTATTTGAAGGAGGGTTATTAGGACAAGGGATCAGACTAACTGGGGAAGAGTAGTGGGTAGGAGTTAAAAACAAAGACAAACTTAAATTTGATGTCATCCTAACAATTAGAGCTATTCAGGGAAAAAAAAAGTGGGAGCCCTAGGCATCGGCTGATTCCCCCTCAAAGGGGCTTTTTCCTGGAAAAGCTGAATGACTACCTGCTGGCTGTGTTGTAGCGTTGATTCTTCTTCAGTGGCTTGTTGAACTACATGCATTCAGAGGCCTCCTTCTGACTCTTATGTCTGTTATTCTGGGAATATTATTTGATTTTTTTTGGTTTGGGGGCTTTTTGGAGACTAGTTTTCCCTATGTCATATGGGCTGGAAATGCACTGACCACTCAAGCAGCCCGATCCCTCAGCTGATTGGCATAGCAGCTTTGGCCCGCTCTCTTTCCTGCCTTAGTCAGTTTACCCTTCCCTATGCAGCCTGGTGAGCTCCCTTCCCCATCCCAGGGGCTTAACATATTGGTGAAAGACTTAGCGTGGCCATCTGACTGAGTTAGGCCACTGCAACTCAGGACCCCGAGCTCAAGCAATCCATCAGCCTCATCCTCGTCCTCAGCCTTCCCCGTAGCACCATGCCCAGCTGGGGGGAATTATATGAACATAATCATGCATCTGACAGTCATATAAGTGCAGTGTATTATTTCTCCACAAACAACAGTCAAAGTAAAGGTTGCAATAGCAACTTTTAAATTTAGACGTTCCTTCTAGCTGCATTTGGCTGTGCCTGGAAAACAGTCACAGATTATGATTAGTGACAATTTATTCTTTTAGCCTTCTGACAGCCAGCTGCCTCATCTGTGATACTTGGAAAACCGTTCTGTTCAGAAGACAAATGGACCTGACAGAATTCAGCCTATGACAGATTCTCTTGCAAGGATTGCCTTGGTTGGAGAAAGCTGACTGTGTGGCAGGTTAGGCATTCATCTGACTGGCTGATTATGAGCACTGTGTGCACTATGTCTCTCCACTTTGGAGGGTGGAAGGAACAGGTTATGCTACTGTCCTGGCCCTTTTTGCTTTTTTCCATTAAGTTCTATTCTGTTCTATATTTATTTGTGTCTGCCATTTATCTGCCTTTTAGACTACAAATGGTTTGGGAGTCAGAATTCTGTTATGTAATTGTATATCATTTCTGGCAATCTCCTCAGCCAACCTGCACACAGGGCATCTTCCTCATCTCCTTTTCCTTCCCTGCCCCACCCCCCAACCTTGGAATCTGCCCTAAAGCAAACTTTGAATTTGTCCAGACCAGGCCCTCTTACCGCTTCCTTTCTAGATAACATTTGTAAAGGGTTTTGCAAACCTTAAAGCTCTATGTAAATGCTAGGTATTATTATTGTTAATATTTTTAGATATATGACTGGCAGCTACCACTTCCCCTTCCCCCTTTTCCAGTTTTCCTTTCTGTGTGTCTTCTCCTTGAGATCAAGGAGGAAATTCCTTGAGATCAAAGACTATCTCACTGCCATTATCTATCTATCTATCTATCTATCTATCTATCTATCTATCTATCTATCTATCTAGGGAGGCAATTGGGGTTAAGTGACTTGCCCAGGGTTACACAGCTAATAAGTGTCTGAGGCTGGATTTGAACTCAGATCCTCCTGATTCCATGCCTGGTACTCTATCCACTGGGCCATCTAGCTGCCCCACTGCCATTGTTGTTATTATCATCATAATTGTCACTATTTTCACATCACACTGGCAGGTACATATTACTATTATCACCCCTTCCAATTTCCCTTTATATATTTTCTTCCCCCATTAGCGGGTAAGCTCCTTGAGGTCAGGGTAAATTTTAAAGTACTCTATTAAATAAGTCTACACTTAACCACTTTGTAACTTCATCAACTTGATTGCTTCTGTCTGTGCTCTGTACAAAGTAAATGCTTAATAAATACTTTATCTCTCTCTGTACTCAGTACTGCATTTCATATACAGAGTAGGCACTGGAAAATGTTTGCAAATTCTTGTTAAATATTTTAACTATTGTAAACAGTAGAGGACTATAAGCTGAAGGAGCAATTCTCAAGAGCCAGAGAGAAATATTACAGGAACACATCCCTAAATTTTTAATATAAAACAATAGGCAGATCCATAAAGCTAAACACTGCTTTGACCAGCCAGGATGCTGAGAGGTGGATGTTGCCAAGGTGAACAATGAGTGAGGTGACAGGAGTAGCCATGAAGGGCGGGGCTAGGATCTCATGCCACAAACAAGTGACAAGTGGCAAACTGAGATAACTTTTTGTTCTAGGCTGAGACTGGATGTGGAGAAAAGTATGTGAGAGAGAAGGGAAAAAAATAGTAAATGGAATGGAGGTTGGAAAGGAGATTGAGTTCCCCATTTCTGGAAATATTCATGCAAAGACTAAAAGACAGCTTGTCAAGGATGTGGCTTAGGTAACCTCTAAGCTACTTCCAAGTCTGGAATTTTATGGTCCTGTGAAAAGGGGAAAGGTAATAGAGGGATAAAATAAAAACAATCAAACAAACCCAAAACCATAAACTTTGCAATTTAAAAGGAGGGACCAGTTAGCAAAAATCTTCTTTTTCTTATCAGGAGGATTTTAATTAAGTTGTTAACCTACCTTTCTTCATCTATAGACACTGAAGAGGACAAACCTTTCACGACACTCTAATAGAAAAAGCACTGATCTGAGAAACAGACCTGGCTTGTTGTCCTCATTCTGCCATGGACCAACTGTGTGTCCAGTGGAAAGTTATTTATCTTCTCTCTGTTTCAGTTTCAGTCACCTACAAATAGTTTAAAGACTGATTGCCCTTCTAGAAATAATAGGGGACTCATGAGAATAAAATGGGATCTGCTTTGTGTTTTGTATACAGACATATATGTACATATTATACATATATGTGTATGTATATGTATGTAATTTTGTACATATGCATATACACATACACGTATATATACACAATGCATGCATACAAAAATGCACAACTTGTCTCTCTCATTAGAATGTGAGGTCTTAGAGGACAGGGATTGTTTTTAATTTTTTCTTTGTATCCCCAAACATTTGCTGATGCTGGATAAGAAGAATAAAAAGAGATCAATATGAGAAATAAGGTTATGGAACACAGCAGATTGTGGAAACCAAAGCAACACATCCAAATATAAGAATAACAGCTCTAAAGAAAGACATTAGCATCTCTGAAGAAGTCCTCTAGAGTTGCTCATTTCTTCTGGTCTTAAAGTACCATATTAATAAATACGTCTGTACGTGACCATTTTGTAACTTCATCAGTTTCCATTAAGTTCAGTGTAGATATGTAGATGATTCTGTGATTGTTAAGTCTGATGCCAGTCTCTTTCCTGAGCTCCAATCCCGAATCACCAACTGTACATTGGCCATTTAAAATTTGATTTCCTGTAGGCATCTCAAATTCGATATGTCCAATACAGAACTCATTATCCTTTGCCTAATATCCACCCTTCTTATGAACTTTCCTATTACTGTTGGGAATACCACACATTCTTTTAGTAGCCCAATTTTGCAACCTTGATGTCATCCTTAATACCTCACTTACCCCCACATAGCCAATGAGTTGTCAGATCTTGTCGTTTCTGTCTCTACAATTATTGCATATGTTCCCTTCTAGAGGCATCTAGAAGGTAGAATGGACAGAGCACTTGGCCTAGAGTTAGGAAGACCTGAGTTCAAATCCAACCTTAGATACCAGTTGTGTGAGCCTAGTCAAATCATTCAACCTCTGCCTCAGTTTTTCTTAACTGTAAAATGGGGATCATAATAGCACCTATCTTAAAGGTTTGTGGTGAGGATGGAATGAGATAATATATGTAAAGTATATAAATATGTATATTTAAATTCATAAATATATGTAAAAATTATATATGTAAAAATTATATGTAAAAATGTTAGCAGGAACAGACTATTGGGGTCATGCTGTCACCGATACCTGATAGCCTTCTTGTTTTCATGACAGTGACTCCAAAGCTCTTTTATGTGTGTTTGAGTACACACACATATACATCATGGATACACTAGAGCATTCCTAAATCTGAGGAGCAGAACTATTATTTCTTCTTCCTTTCTTAATTCTCATATTTAAATTATTCCTTCAATTCTCTTTGCCACTTCCATGACTTAAAGACTTAAAACCTCTGACTTCCAAGTAAAGGTATGAACTTACGCAATCCTGGCACAGACTGTGCATTTCCAATTGCCATCGATGCCCACAATACGACACTCACTGCAAACTCGGAGCGTACATGCTTGGCACACATCCCCCCGGTCAAAAATCAAGCCCAAATTTTTCTGACATCGAACACAAATCCTGCCGCCATCTTGCTGCCTTTTCCCACCTTTCCGTTTTGCTTCTAAAAGCTCATTTTTCAGCTTCCTAGAAAGACAAAGAAGAATTTTTCATCACAGTTAGCTTGAATTAATAAAAATCTTCATTCATTACTTTTAAGAAAACAAACCTGGAAAAAGACCACAATCCAATATGCTCAGCACTAATAAAAAAATCCACTTGCCCAAATTGATTCAAAAAGCTTCCAATGCCAACTGTTAACTGAGAAAGTAAAAATTTGCTTTACTTCAGGCTTCCATCGAGTTCAGTCAGTCAAGGAGAAAACTGAGGGTCAGAGAAGTTAAGGGATTTCTCTGAAGTCGCAAAGGTGGCATAGCTAGGATTTAAACTCAGAGTCTGTAACTCTAAATCCAGTTTAAACTCTCCACTGCACCATAATTCCTCTGGAGAAAACAAACAAACAAAAACTAAGGATCAGAGTGATTTACCCTGGGGCATAGAGTTAGAAGTATAATTGGCAAGATTTGAACCAAGGTCTTCCTGACAAATTCTGGTACCATTTGCTACACCAGTAGTGTCAGACTCAAATAAAAACTGATCCCTTCCAGCCCCATATTGACTCAGAAAACTACAAATAAAATTATTCATGTTGTATTGTGTTTTTGTCTATTTTGTTAAACATTTATATTATAATTGTTATACTATTGTATTATACATATATACATACTATATATATAGTATATTATATATACCATTATATTTGTTAAACAATTATATTTTAATCTAGCTTCGGCAGACTGATGAATTTTGCTGGTTTGTCACTTCTCTGCTACAACACATGCCTCTCAGATGAAGTAACTTAATGTACTTTACAGCTTTAAAGTATTGTACAAATAAAAGCTAGTATCACTGTTATTATATGCCTCCCTTTAAACTCACATAAAGGGAAGCCCTCACCAGAGGGTCCTACACATGTGGGACCTTCTCTATTGCTACATAAATAATATAAATCATTTGTAATATAATTTATGATATATAATGGGACAGCTAGCTGGCATGGTAGATAAAGCGCTGGGCCTGGAGTCAGGAAGACTTATCTTAGTGAGTTCAAATCTGACCTTAGACACTTACTAACTGTGATCCTGGGCAAGTCACTTAACCCTGTCTGTTTTTAGTTTCCTCATCTATAAAACAGGCTGGAGAAGAAAATGGCAAACTACTCCAGTATCTTTGCCAAGAAAACCCCAAATGGGGCTGCAAGAGTCAGACATGACCGAAATGACTAACAACAACAGCAATGTGACATAAAAAATTAGTTTCGCTAATTTATATCTGTTTCATTTCTCTGGAATATCACATTTGGGGTACTACCTTCTAACTCAGTTGCATTCCCCAATCTTGGGGCAAGTACAAAAAGCTTGTTTCATGAGTTCTGTTGCTTCCTCTTTACCAGGGTGACAGCAACAAATGTGAACCTAAACTGTAACAGTGGTCCTTTCCTGTAGAGGTCCAACACTAGATATGACTACAGAAATAAGAGGTTTTAAAATTACCTAAAGACATCCTAAGAGATCTAAACTCCTTTGGCTAATATGCAGGGCTATTCATCAGCTGTTCTGTTCAACCTTTCCAAGTTCATTATAGTCAGGGAGGCAAGCTAATCAGTTTATTAATTCCTTGCACCAGAATGACTCATCCCCATCATGCATCTACATATCTGCCATTCCTCCCTGTCTCCTTGCCAATTTATCTCCACCACTTATTTCAGTACCCTAATCAAGACTTATTGACTGCACACACAACCTTCCCTCGTTCCCTTTTGAATCCACACATTCACTTTCATTCTCCAGTTGTAGTATATCTGGGTATATCTGCCCTTTTTCACATTCTCTCTCTCTCTCTCTCTCTCTCTCTCTCTCTCTCTCTCTCTCTCTCTCTCTCTCTCTCTCAATGTCTCTCTGTCTCTCTCTCTCTGTCTCTCTGTCTCTCTCTCTCTGTCTCTCTCTTTCTCTCTCCTCCTCTCTCCTCCTTCTCTCCCTGTCTCTCATTCTTCCCTCCCTCCCCCTCTCTCTGTCTCTTTCCACTCTCTTCTTTCTCTTCCTGTTTTTGTCTGTCTCTCCTTTTCTCTCTCCTCTCTCTCCCTGTCTCTCATCCTTCCCTCCCTTCCCTCTCTGTCTCTGTCTTTCTCCTCTCTTTCCTCTTCTTCCTCCTCTCCTTTCCTCTCCCAAATTAATATAATGCCATGCTCACTGTCAAACTAACATTAATCTTTTATTGTATATAACACCAGTTTGTCAATACACATTCATATACATGACCTCATTTTATCTTCCCAATAAGCCTGTGAGGGAAGCAGGATATGAGGTATTATTCTGATTTTAAAGGTGAGAGAACTCGAGCCCAATAACTTGGCCAATGTCACACAGCGACACGATAACAGGATTGAGACCAGTATCTCTGTCTACTTACTACAAGCATGTGGAATGTCCTCTGTGTGGAGAGAAGGGCAGGAAACTCTCCAAAAACTCTAAAAGTTTAATCATGACAAACTTTTGTCCAGTAACTACTATTTGTGGAATACAGTTTTAGGTATCAGGAGAGACACAACATAAATGAAACACCATGCTTTGTTGTGGTAGTTTAGTCTTTTTTTCCAGTCACATTCAACCTTTTGTGACCCCATTTTGTATTTTCTTGGCAAAGATACTGTAGTGGGGTTTGCCATTTCCTTCCCCAGCTCATTTTCCGAATGAGGAAACTGAGGTGACAGGGTGAAGTGACTTGCTCAGGGTCACACAACTAATAAGTGTCTGAGGCTGGATTTGAACTCAGAAAGTTCAAACTTCCTGACTCCAGACCCAGAATTCTATCTACTGCACCACCTAGCTGCCTGACACCATGCCTATTTAATCTAATATGGATATGGTAGCATGGCATATACACAAACGTAACGTAAGCATACTCTCTATGATGTTGCCTTGAGCAACCTCATTTCATAGTGATACAGTAGGGAATATTCGAGTCAAATCTCACTATAATGTCTTGAAAGTACAGGTATGATGCCTTTGCACAGATCTGTGATCATGAAAGCTCTGATTCTTCCCACACCACAAGTTCTGTAAGACAACAGGTCTAGCCACCTAGATTGTGAGCTCCTTGAAGGCAGGTACTTTCTTTTGCTTTTAAAATTTTTTTTTATCCCTAGCATTTAGCACTGTGCCAAGCACACAGTAGTCAATGAATAGATGCTCACTGACTACTGATTGTCCAAGCATTTATTCAGTGTTTACTGTGTGCCTGGCACTGTGCTAACTCCCTGCCGTAGCTGTCTGTATCTCCTCTCATTAAGCTCTATAAGCTAACCATTGCCTACACCTGCTGGCCCTGGCCTTGATTCCATTCAGTTTGATACTGTTCTTCTCATCCCCAGTCCCCTTCCCTTTCTCTGGCTGCAATCAGCTTGGCTTTGTTCTAGTCAACTCAATACTCACTGATCCACTCAGTTTTATTCCTGTGGAATTGTCCTTTGTAACAGTGTTTCAATTAAAATGCTTTCATGGAGCAAATTCATGATGTGAAGCAAAGTTTACCAGTAATGCCAAATGGAATATGGTATGTATATGAGAGAAAATACAAAATACTGTGCCTGTCTCATTTCTGACTGAAGGCAAGGTTTCATGCTACAGATTATATCTGATCTGGCTCTTGAAGAATGTGGTGGATTTGGACAGGTAGAAATTTGGGGTGGGGGTATTTCAGTCCTGAGTAATGGTGTGAGCAAAGGCACTGAGACAAAATGACATAGGACATATTCAAGTTTGACTGAGAGAAGGCTAGAAAGGTGGAGGGGGCCAATTTGTTGAGGGTCTTGAATATGAGGCTAAGGATTTTGTACTTTATTCAGTAGTTTATTAGCAGCCATTGAAAGGCTTTGAGCTTGAAAGTTTGACATGATCAGATTTGTATAAAAGCAAGATTAATCTGGAACTGTTGTGAAGGATGACTTAAAGAGGGGAGAAACTGGAAACCCCAGGGGAAAAAAACAATAAAGCAAGCATTCCTAGCCCTGAAATGCAATTATATAGACTAAAAGAGACCAATATTTCCTCTGTGTTTCTGTATTCAAAGGACCTACATGATTCTAATAGTATTATCCAAGAAAAGCCTTGTGAAATCCCCTCTGGACGTTTATAAATGCTACAGATTTTAAAATAATGAAATGAGTTCACGTGCTAAGAACACTGTTATACTGCTTTAGAGATCTCAGCCCACGTTTTAAGCGTCTCAAGACACAAGTATAATAAAGTAGCATTTGTTCAAATATCTATAACAACCCGTAACAGAGGAATAAAAAATAGAAGTGAGGATCGTAAAGTATCCTAAAAGATGATAAACAGGCAGGATATGAAATGGGTAAGGAGGGAATTCCAGAGGCAAACTCTTCATGAAAAGAATCCTACTTTTGGGTCCTAGAAATGCATATAAAGGAAAGCAGATGTTCAATTTTTCAGTACTATCTTCTGTTTTCTCAGGTAGAGATGCTGGACATGTTCTGAGAAATTAAAAGCAATTTTGCCAGGCTTTCATATTAAACCATTTTCATGGTTTCTAGACGGAGATCTAATGTTGCCATAAAAATTACTCTGGGTCTGCAGTCCCAGAGGATAATAGGAATTGGGGCCTAGAATAAATCAGGTTGCAGGCATGAAGGCATTTTAATTAAAATGGAAAATAATATAGACACGCTAGTGCTAAAGTGCTTAGAGCTACTACCCTTCAGAATCATTAGTTATGCCATTGCATGTGGGGTAAGCTGTGGAAAACTGTGCTGGACAGCAAAACATTTCCAAAGAGTATAATCTGAAAAAGCAGGTCATTTAATGAGCAAAATGGTGAAATAATTGTTTTTATATACTTCTTCAACCTAAAATAATCTCAGCAATCTTAGAATAATTAAAGTGTAATTCTCAAGAAAAAAGAGAGAAACAAGGCACAAGGAAATAGCTTTATCTAATAAAACTTTGGAGAAATTAAATGCTTAAAGCACCTATTCACCATCCCCACCCCAACCCACAAGCTGGACACAG